ACCACCAACCTCATTTCAAATTCTACTCCTTTCTCCAAACCTGTTAATCAATTTTATAAAATGTCTTCAGTCTTCTTTATAAAGTACAGGATGGGGCAAAAATAGGTTTACAGTTATTCATATGGAAATTAATACAATCATTAATAAATAGTAATACAAGAATAAACTTTTTCATATTCTCACAACTGTAAATTTACTTTACCCCCACCCTAGGGCGACCAGGCCTTCTGCGTTCATGATCTAATAGTACCTATGGATAGATTTAAACATGAGGGAATTTAAGCTTAGATTAAGTAAACTGACCAAGGTCACAAAGCTTAGGAAACCTATTCCAGTAAAATCTGTACTATTTTGCTTTACAGTTCAATACCACTTAGGTTAGTCCGGGATATTATAGATCAGGAGTTAAGAGAGTTGGCCCACAGACCGAAAGGTGAGGGATTTGATTCCTTGTCAAGGGCACATACCTGGGTTGCAGGGGTTTTTTTTGTTGTTTTTTTAAAATATATTTTATTGATTTTGTACAGAGAGGAAGGGAGAGAGAGAGAGAGAGAGAGAGTTAGAAACATCGATGAGAGAGAGTCATCGATCAGCTGCCTCTTGCACACCCCCTACTGGGGATATGACCGCAACCAAGGTCCATGCCCTTGACCAGAATGGAACCCGGGTCCCTTCAGTCCTCAAGCCGACGCTCTATCCATTGAGCCAAACCGGTTTCGGCCTGGGTTGCAGGTTTGATTCCTTGCCCCAGTATGGGTGTGTGCACTGATGTCTCTCTCTCAGATTGATGTCTCTCTCTTTCTCCTCCTCCCTCCCTTTCACTTACTCTAAAAATCAATGGAAAAAATATATCCTCGGGTGAGAATTAAAAAAAAAAAATACCACTTAAGTTTTAAATATTTTCACATAGGTTATCTATAGTTTAATCTCACTTAAACTCACAGTAACCTTGACAGGAAGGTTGCTAAGTATAAAAACCTTAATCCACACCCCAACTTTACTTAAAAGAGCATGTAACTAAGATGGCAGAGTTGAATGATGATCTTGACTTTTAGTTGAGTGCTATATCACTTGTTGTCTGTACAACCCATTTTTCATTAAGTAGAACTCATTCTTATCCCTTTCTTTCACTTTCATCCAAATGTGTTGTGAAAATAAACTGGTCACTGTACTAATAAAGTCCATCTGAGGTTTATTTTATTATATATTTTAATATATTTTATTGAGTTTTTACAGAGAGAAAGAAAGCTAGAAACATGGATCAGCTGCTTCCTGCACACCCCCTACTGGGGATGTGTCTGCAACCAAGCAAGGTACATGCCCTTGACCAGAATCGAACCTGGGACCTTTCAGTCCGCAGGCCGACGCTCTATCTACTGAGCCAAACCGGTTTCAGCATGAGGTTTATATCTACTGTACTAACCATGACTTGGATGGCTATTAGCAATTTATATTTGAAAACAAATAGTGCACGACCTCAGAAAGAACTATGATATGCAAGAGCTTTGAAAGTAGTTTAATTTCCTTGTCCAGTTGTCAAACACTCATTCAATAAACAATTTACTGTGTACCTATCAGGTACATCAGCATCCTAGTGCTGAAGACACAACAGTAGAGACACTGTCTTGTCCTTGAACTACTAGGAGCTTTATGGTTTACTAAGTAACAGCCCAGAAAACAGTACTTAAATGTGCTAAAAGTGAAAACTGAGGAATAGAAAATATTGTGTAGTAATATGTGGCCTACAGGCTCTCTGCCCATAGGGAAAGAAAGCATACTTGATGGTGGCGATCATCTATAAAGGCAATGATATATTAAACCTCAGAGCAAGCAAGTAAGAGGTATTAGGAACCCTAACACAAAAATCCTTGTGTGCCATTTAATATTGGACTATAGCACAATTCCCTAATATATGGTAAGATTTTTACATGTAATACTAATTAACTGATAAAGCTAGTCTAGTGACTTCCAAGCTTCAAATTACCTGTTGGTGTGTGTAAACTGTGTATCATATCAGAGGTCTTTTTCAACTGAAACTTTAATAGCAATTTAGTATCAATTCCTACTGCTAATCTTTCTGATTTCGTTAGTGGTCTAAGTTATTGCTTTAATAAGTTCCCTAAAATTGGGGGAATTGTGAAGTAAAACTGCAGAGTCATTCAGCCTCTTTCATACTGACATTCCCCCAACTAGTACTCATTGCATTTTAGCTGGTTTTCTTTCCCATTTTGGTCTTATCCAGACAGGACTGGTTTGAACCTCTAGGAAACTTCAGGAATTTGTCTAATTTGATGGAATGTCACTGAAGGAGGGGAAGTCTTGTTAAATCACTATTACTCTAGAATTTAACTTTTGTTTTCCTTGACAAAATCAGACCAGTTAATTGTCGAGAAGTTGGAAGATACAGAAAACTAAAAATAAGTCAGTCACACTCACCATTCAAAGATGATTCCATCTTTCTCATTTTCCAGCTCTTTTTAATGGGTTCTTCAATTATATTGGTTAGAAAATTAAAAAGTTTAACTGAGAATATTATTTTCCAGATTAGAAATTTACATTTTAAAGTCAAAATTATAATTTCTGCTAGGCCTTTCAACTTAAATGAACCAAGGGACTTTCTATGTTTGCAGTATAAATAAAAGAGTTTAAACCACAAACTGAAAAACACTCTTCCCTAAAGCACATTGTTTGGAGTCAAAACATTGGTTACTACATTGCAAATGAAATGGGAGGACACTGGATTGGGTAAAAACCTCAGGAAAAAAAAATCTGTATTTTCACAAAATACTATTCATCAAAATCTGAAGAGGTCGCCTAGAGTTTTACAAATGGGGAAGCTAAGGCGAAGCATAAGGGCTACTTAACATGGATTTACTGCTGGTCAGGGAATTGCTTGGGAGTGGCAAGTAAGGGCGATATTAGGGAGACATGGCAAGAGAAAACGTCAAAGGCATAACATAGCAAGTCAACAGACATCACCTCCCTTCCTTTCAGTTTATGGTGAAACACATTTGGTTCAATTATATACCAGCCCAATTAGTGTTCTGAAGAACTAGTTCCCTTTTAGTGAAACCTGGTGACTTTCCCATAAACAAGCCGGTCTCCCATCACGACACCGAAATGCCATCTTTCAGCGCCTCCCCATTCATACGAGACTGTGGTTACTTACATCCCCTGTTTATTCTTTCAACTATCCTCTCCCTCCCTGCACCATAAAAATCACAGAACAGAACGCTAAAAGGCTTGCCTTTACCTTCCCAAAGCAGGTGAACACCTACAGGAAGCCGCTTGCAAAGCTAAAAACTCAAAATTACCGAGACAGCACGTTGGGAAGCAGGCTTTACAGTGACTCCGCAGTTAGGGCCACCTCAGTGTCATCCCCTCCCGAGCCAGTCGCACGGGAGACGCCTGTGCCTCCAGGGTTTTTCAGTCTTCCCCGCTCCCAGCCGCAGGTGGAAGGGGAAGGCGGTCAGGGCCCCTCCCAAAGAATGGGCTTTGGGGATGGGAGACGACAGGCTACTGCAGACCCCCCCCAAGAATGGATGCATCAACCCCACGACCCGAAGCCCCAAAGACTCCGAATTAGGGAACCATAATGGCTGCACTCACCCCCAAAGCCGAGAAAAGTGGACGTCTCCACCCGCGGGGGCGAGGACAGTGGGGGAGCGGGGGTGAGGAGGAGGACTGGCGAAAGGAGCTCCCGGTCAGGGCGGGATGATGGCAGCGGGAAGGAAGCCCCGAACAGCTGAGGCCGCCGTTCACCCTCTCCGTCCTCCCACCCCTTCTCCGACCCCCACCTGCCGCCGGTTACAGGTCGCCGCTCACCCGACACTGCGCGAGGTGCAGGAACAGCACAGACCCCGGAGCTCCAGGCTCGGTCACTGAGGGAGGGGAAGTCTTCAGCTGCAGAAGGAAAAGGGGGGGGGCGGGTCTAGACAGTCACGTGACCCTGAGCTCCGCCCTGCCGTCACGGGGCTGGAGCGTTACCTCTCTAGGGCCAGTATTTTTTTTGCGGATTGTTTGAACGTTAATTTTGTCACGATTAAATTCTAAAAGAATAATTCCTATAAAGATTATGTTGTAAAGTGCAACCTGGAAGGCACGGGTGGAACGGGCTAAAGGATCCTGGACTGCTAAGGAAGTGACGCTGCCCTCACCGTCTACAGACCGGAAGTGGCGATAGAGTTCCCTCCCCCTCCGCGGCGCCGGGACTGCGAAACCTCAGGAGGTTTGGGGCAGTCACGTGACCTCAAAGCGTGCTGGGCTGAAGCCAAGTTACCCGGCCAATTACGTTTATCTTTTTTTTTTTTTTTACGTTTGTCTTTTAAAACAAAACCACCATCTCATTTACGTTGAGTTTTCCACACACTTCTATACTTGTAGAGGAACCTACTTTTACAAAATCGCACGACGGAGAAAAGAGCATTTGAAAGTCATCAGGGAGACTCTCCACTGGGAAGAGCCGGTTGGGGGGAAAGGCTGCTCTTCCTGAAGTGGGAGAGGCGAGAGAGGGCGGAAAAACCCGGATTTTACCGCCACGACGGACCGGGGGCAGGAAGGTGACGCAAAAGGGCACAGCCCACTAGAAAGATGGAGGCCCCCAGGTGGGGGAGGGGAGGAGGGTACGCGGAGACGTGTAGTGCGGCTGCGCCGGAGGCGGCTTACGCGCCGGCGCGCAGAGGGGGCGGGGTGAAAGGTCACAACGCGGCGGCGGTTCGGGCTGGCGGCGGCGGTGGCGGCGGCGGGCGGGAGCCGAGTGCCCCGTGTGCACGTGCGGAGAAGCGGCGGTAACAGCGCAGCGGCGGGAGGCACGCCGCCCCCTCCCGGGACGCAGGGCCGTGCTCCGCTCTCGCGGCCTCCGTCCCCCGCTCCGCTCCCTGCCTGAGGCGAGGAGGCCGGCTGGTGGAGTGGAGTGGCCCGGAGCGGAGGGCGCCGAGAGCTGAGGGCGGCGGCGGCGGCGTTGATATCGGCGGTAACTACGGCCTCAGCAGGCGGGGAAGATGAAAGGGTGAGGAAGGGCAGCCGGGCCGGGCTGGGTCGGCGGGGTAGGGTGGCGAAGGAGGGGAAGAGACCCGGCGAGGACCCGGCGGGGGGAGATTTTCTGGGTTTCTGTGCTCACGGAGGGGGCGGAGGCTCGGCTCCGGCTGTTGGCGCGCTGAGGGGCCGACCGTGGCGAGACCCAGGCGGCCCAGGACTCCGGCCTGGAGCACCAAGTGTGTTAACAGGAGAAGAGCGGCTGAGTGTGGCCGCGGGGTGAAGCTCTGGTGAGGGGCCTGGGGTCTCCCACCCGGAAACGGAGGGCCGAGACCCCGCCGCTCCAATCGGACTGGTCCGGGTGTCTGTCCTCTCCAGTCTAAGCTCCACACTGGGACCCTTGGTGTGTGGGCCATCTTTCAGTGTTCTTCACACTTGAGAGCGATGCAGGACCTTCTGGAAGGAGGAGGAATTGGAATAAAAAAGCAGGGAGTAATAAGAGGCAGTGACTCAACTGGATTTGGGTTGGGTCTGGCCGACCGAGTGGAGGGGGGCGGAGAGAGCGTGAGCGCTGGAGTCTTGGGGTGCCAGAATGTTTAAGGAAGAAGTGTTGCTGACCGGTAGGTGGAGCCCTTGCTCCAGGAGTTGAGAATTGCCCCCATCCTGTGGGGTCTTCAGTTACTAGGAAGCTTTTCCTCGGGTAATTGGCAGAGTTAGTATTCTTTCATAGTTTTCTTCTTGGATAAAATTAGGGGTTATCTTGGTTCGAGTATTTCCATTCGGATAAGCTGTCACCTTACTATTAAATTACATACTGTTAAAATATTAATTACATAACACGGTATTTTAAAATGTTGGCTGTTTGAGAGCTTGCCTTTACCCTCCTTAGAGGACGAAATGTAATCTTATCGGTGTTAAAAGCTTTCTGAGATGCCTGACGTTTTTTTTTTTCCCTTGGTTTTTTTTTTTTTTTCATTAAAGATTCTTTGAAAGTATTTTTATTGTAATTTTATAGTAATGCATATATCAAACTATTCTTAATTTACTTAATCATGCCTTTGTTACTTGATATGTGAATAATTTTCATATATTCACTATACTCTTGTAAGTGTATCTTTAAAATAATTTTAATTTAAAATTTTTAATTTAAATTTTTGTTGACACTGTTGCAGATGTGTCCCATCCTCCCCTACCTTTTGCCTTCCTCCATCCAGTCACCGCCCCCCTTACCCTTACTGCACTATTGTCTGTGTCCAAAGGCTGTGCATATAGGTATGTTCTTTGGCTAATCCTTCACCTTCCTTTATCCAGTCCTCTTCCCCTCCCCTCTGACAGCTGTCGGTATGTTCCATGTATCCATGCCTCTGGTTCTATTTTGTCAGTTTATTTTGCTCATTAGAATCCACTTAATAGTGATATCATATGGCATTTGTCTTTTTTCTTATTGGTTTATTTCTTCTCAGCAAAATGATCTCGGGGTCCATCTCTTCTATTGCAAAGGGTGAGATTTCCTTTTTTACTGCCTGAGGTTTTTATTCTTATAACAAGTCCGTTAAAGAATTGTAACTGTGTTTTGAGTTAATGAAGCCTTTCCAACTATTCAACAATCCTTTTGAGGATGAAATAAAATTCAGTCTTCCAAGTAATCTCATACTGCTGAAAATATTATCTTGGTGTATTTATGTGTTTGAGATCTCAGAAGTCCAAAAGTGTAATCTGGCTTTAGCTCTGTAATGTGATTCCTTACTCTAATTTTGTTTTAAATATTAGATTCATTTTACTGTTGGATCATGTCTTATAATTAAAATTTCAAAATCATGAAGAAATGTTTCCTTTATTTCACATCAGATTCTAAAGAATTCCAAACAAGATTTCATTTGAGAAATATGAGAAGTGTTCACTACACTTGAATTATGGTCTAGGAAGATTAGCTATTTTATATATGAACAGATGTAATTTGGTGAGTTTTTCTTGAGTAGGTGCTGGTTTTTTACTTAATTTTGTAGTCTCTTGGATATTCAATATTTATTTGTTTTCTGTCATTGTAATAAAAATGAGGCTGAAGAGGAGTTCCCGTTGAGACCGTGTGCATGGGTTTAAAAAGGGGTCTTATACTCTTGTCTCTCCTCAGATCATATAAATCTTTCATCTTTTACTCTATGTATTTATATGCATGGCCAATAAATTATCCTGTATGCGTGGATCCAAAATCTTTGGTTTAATTCAGTCTTGCTAGGGTAATGTTCTGATAACTATGTTGGCAATAGAAATGAGACAAACAGTGGTAGTAATCATAGTCTACCTTCATAAGGCAATTATCTTTTATTTAAAATAGTTATTCTTGTATATCAACCCGGTGGAGACAAATACCCATAAATGAGTGAAATTTAGGGGAACTGACTAAATTTAGAGGAAATTTTTATTGAGTCTCTTCCTATACCATCAGCTATGCCTGAAATAAAGAGTCCTTAAATCTAGTTCTGGGAGCTTCAAATTGTGTTATTAGAAGTAAACTTTTAAGATGATTTCATAGGAATAGTGCCTTTAACTTCACATATGAACTAACTCCCAGGTAAGATGGGACATAAAATTTTTTATTTTATTTCCGTTTCTTTTATTTAAAAGCCTAAACAAATGAACACAATAGACATTTAAAATGTCCTTGAGTTCAAAGACTTCTATCAACATGCACAATGTGGTTAGTATTAAAAGACCTGTGAAAATGGCCGAAACCTGTTTTGCTCGGAGGTTAGAGCGTCGGCCTGCGGACTGAAGGGTCCCGAGTTTGATTCCAGTCAAGGGCATGTTTCTTGGTTGCGGGCACATCCCCAGTGGGGAGTGTGCAGGAGGCAGCTGATAGATGTTTCTCATCAATGTTTCTAACTTTCTATTCCTCTCCCTTCCTCTCTGTGGAAAATCAATAAAATATATATATTTTTAAAAAGACCTGTGAAAATGATTATATGATTTGCATATGAAATTTTATTTGCTTAAGTGTCTTATTGTCTATTGAAGCTAGCTGAACTTTTAAGTTGAATAGAAATATCTAAAAATTGGGAACAAATACAGAATTTACACTCTAAATCAGTCTGCTATTTAAATATTTTATATCATTGCCTATATTACCTATCATTTAAAAGCTTATTAATATTTTACCTTCTTTTCTTCCTATTTTACTTAGTTTTCATTATTAGCAGTAGGACATTTCATTATATTGACATGTATTTGTCTTTTCTCCATTATAGATAAATTTGCAGTTAATTACTGCATGTGTGTGTTTATTTTTTAAAGGGTTTTATTAGTTTTTAGAGAGAAAGGGAGATGTATATATATATAATATATCAATGTGAGAGCAAAACATTCCATTAGCTGCCTCCTGTACACCACACCCCCAGTGGGGTAGGAGCCCACAATCTTGGCATGTGTCCTGACCTGGCTGGTGTAGCTTAGTTGATTGGGTATCGCCCCTGGTACCAAAGGGGTTTTATACTCTTGTCTCTCCTCAGATCATATAAATCTTTCATCTTTTACTGTATGTATTTATATGCATGGCCTAGAAATCTGAGGTATGTTAGATGTTACTTCCTTTTGTACTAAAGTTGCTTGTTTTGAACCAGGAACATTATAGGTTGAATTTGTGATTGGCAAACTGACCTCTTTTTTTTTTTTTTTTTTTTAATCTATTGTTCCACTTAGGAAAAGTGATCTTCAAGCATGAAGGTATGCCATACACAGGCATAACTGAGATGGCAATGTAATTAATCAGTATAATAGAAAATAAGTCGAATCCAGTTTGGCTCAGTGGATAGAGTGTCAGCCTGCAGACTGAAGGGTCTTGGGTTCGATTCCGGTCAAGGGCATGTACGTTGGTTGCGGGCACATCCCCAGTAGGGGGCGTGCAGGAGGCAGCTGATTGATGACTCTCATCAATGTTTCTAGCTCTCTGTTCCTCTCCCTTCCTCTCTGTAAAAAATCAATAAAATATATTTTAAAAATAAAATAAAATAAAATCTTACATTTAAAAAGAAAACTAAATCCAGTTATTCTTTATCTGTAGTTGAGGTATAGTAAAAGTTAATTCTAATAAAAATGTCTAACAATATGTGAATACATGTGCATAAGATAAAGGTGGAAAAATAGCAAAAATCTACTAATAATAGAGAAATATGCAAATTGACCATACCTCCGTGACACAGAGTGAGTATGCAAATTAACACAACAAAGATTGGCCAGGCGAGACAACTGCTATGAGGAGGAGGGCGCGGGGTGGTGGTGGAAGGAGCTACAGGCGCTGTGCTCTGGTCAGGAGCAAAGACTTGCAGACTTTTGGGCACCCGGGAACAAGGACCTGCAGGTTCCCAGGTGGCTGAGAGCAAGGACCTGCAGGCTCCCAGGCAGCTGGGAGCAAAACCAGGGGAAGGAAGGCCTAATCTTGAACGAATCTTCATGCATCTATTCTGTAGTCCATATATAAATGTATAAGCAACCAGGCAATTGGCTGGTCACTATGATGCACACTGATCACCAGAGGGCAGACACTCAATTCAAGCAGCTGCCCTCTGGTGGTCAGTGCATTCCCACAGCCTGTCTGGCTAGCCCCAATCAGCCCTGATTGCTGGCCAGGTTGAGGGAATCCACCCATGCACAAATTCGTGCACTGGGCCTCTAGTATAAATATCATATATGAAATGGTATAGTTTAGTAATTGAAATGTTAAAATATAAAATTCTGGGATCAGAAATCCTATATAATAAAAGCCTCGGTGGTGTTATGCCCTCCTGCGACGCCTTCACAAGATGGCCACCACAAGATGGCTGGCAGTTGGGGGCAACCAGGCTAGCAAGGGAGCAGTTAGGCATCAGTCAGGCCAGCAGGGGAGCAGTTAGAGAGCAGTCAGGCTGGCAGGCAGAAGCAATTAGGAGCCAGCAGTCCCGGATTGTGAGAGGGATGTCCAGATTGGAGAGGGTGCAATTCAGGCTGAGGGACACCCTTCCCCTTCCTTCTCCCCCTTCTCCCCCCAATCTCGTTCAAGAA